GCCGACGCACGCGCACAGGACGCCCCCGCCTCCAGTCTGCGACTGCACTGTTTGTATGGGAATTTCTCAGGAGTAGAGGTTCAATGCTCTAAGTGGGATTATTTGCAAAGAGGAGGTAGTAGCGAGCAGAATTCCTCATGCTGCCTCCTCTCGGTCCCTTAGGTACCCTCCCTCCTAGTGCACTGGGGAAATTGAGCATGAATAAGTCCTTTTACAACTGGCCGCAGGTGCCAGGCCTATGCCATTGGAGGGGGACAGGTGGAAAGAACCTAAAATTTCCAGTCAAAGGCTGGCTCTGAATTACAGAGCATTTAGCCAGAGAACGTAGAGTCGACTGGAAAAGAACGAAAAACTCTTGAGTCCGGCACTCCCCTATCACAGATAGGAAGGCCAGTGTCCGCAGAGAAGTGGAGATGGTGCCAAGGTCACGTGGAATGACTAGACTCCTTGAGTCAGGAGGGTTATGTGGGTTATAAAGAAACAAGCAAGGGCTGAGGTTGGGGAGGTGGACTTTGCTCGGCGTTAGAGTATAGAGGTCCTGGGTTCATGACCAACACGAAAGAGGAAAGAAAGGAAAGGGAATAGGTGAAGAATAAGAACCATAGGGAGACAGCAAGGCCATGGAGGAATCTTTTGACGGAAGCCCTTGTCTGAAATGAGGACTTCTAGGTCAACCCACTTCGTCCTGAACTGGCTGGATGAATTCAGCTTCACCTAACTGACAATGCTCATTCTCAGTAGGGTTCCCTTCAGGCACCATCCTACTCTACCCAGACCACCCAAGGTGTGGGCATCAGGCTCCCTTAGGATAGTAGAAAAACCTTGCTCATTCTCAGCACTTGCTTTAAGCTGGATCACACACACACACACGCACACACACACTTATTACAGAACTTGCAGTCCGGATAGCTGTTCTAAGAAACACAGTTCAGGGAAGAAAAAAAAAAAAAAAAGGAAGGTCCTTGAGACCTGACTAGACCAGGGGGACTTGCCAGATAACCTACTGGCTCTGTGGCCAAAAGATGGAAAAGTGGCGCTTGGAACCAGTAGTTTTACCTTGAGTTAACCCACATTCTTGTGTGTGGAAGTAACAGAATCAGAGCTCTAGAGCTGTGTATAAACTAGAAAATCTCTTCTTCTTTTTCTTTCTTTCTTTTTTTTTAAGCCATTTGCCACCTGAGTCCTTAATCAGATCAGGGAAGGCCTGAGGCAAGGGAACAGTACGTGGGGACCCAGAGTACTCAACACCACAGTGGGGCAACTAGTAAAGGTAGGGAGATGGGCCTGTTCTCAGTCTCACCACCGAGCCTTGTACTCCTCCAGCTTTTGTTTCCTGGCATACAAAATGGAGGTATAAACTATCTTTACAGACTTGTACTAATTAGAATGAGTCCTATTACAGACCTGGCACATGGTCAATGTCGAATAAATCAATGTTCATTGATTCATTCATTGATAAAATATTTGCTGCTACCCTACTTTATGTGGAGCCCACACCAAACACTGGGATGTGGAAGTGAGCAAGGCAGAATCACCCACATAAAGTTCCAGACTAAAGGGGAAGAGTAACAGCACTTGCCCAGATGCAGTGTGCTGCACACAGCAGGTGCCTAACCAAGGTCTGCTACATTCTAGTGCTAGGTGCAGCTGCTCTGGCTCAGAGGTTACCTTCCTTCACTTCCATGGATACAAAGCTGCTGGATGTTGGAAGATTTGGGATCTAGCCTACACCGCTGATTTACGGTGCATTCAGTGGATGTTGGAGCTTATCTGTAGCATAAAGTAAATGATGCTATGCATGGTTTCAAACATCTAATTAATGCAATCTCAGCACTTGGGAGGATGAAGCAGAAAGATCATGAGTTGAGACAGCCCAATTAATCTGCAGAGACCCTGTCTTAAATAAATAAATAAATAAATGTAACAGAAAGAAAAAGAAAGTGGGCTAGAGAGTAGGCTCAGCAGCTAAGAGCTCTTGTTGCTTTTGCAGAGGGCCAGGGTTCGATTCCCTGCACACCACATGGTGGTTCACAACCATCTGTGACTCGTGTTCCAAGGGAATCTGATGCCCTCTTCAGACCTCTACAGGTACCAGGCAAATATGTGATATACACACGCATGCAACCAAAACACTCATACACATAAAATGATAAATCTTTTTTTTTTCTTTTGGGTTTTTGAGACAGGGTTTCTCTGTAGCTTTGAAGCCTGTCCTGGAACTCTCTCTGTAGACCAGGCTGGCCTCGAACTCACAGAGATCCACCTTCCGAGTGCTGGGATCAAAGGCATGGCCCCCCCCCCCCCAGCCAATAAACCTGTTTTTAAAAAATTTAGTTTGCAACACGCCTTTTTCAAATCCTAAAGGCTTTTTAGTTTTGGGGTTTTTTTGGTTTTGGGGGTGGTTTTTGTTGTTTGTTTGTTTGTTTATTTGTTTTTGTTTTTGTTTTGAGACAAGGTTTCTCTCTGTAACAGCCCTAGCTGTCCTGGAACTAGCTTTATTGACCAGGCTGGCTTCAAACTCACAGAGATCTGCCTGCTTCTGCCTCTGCCTCTGCTGCCAGAATGATAGGATTAAAGGTGTGTGCCACCAGGCCTGGCCAAATTCTAAACTTTCTTATGGTTTCTTCAAACGAACATTTACAGTAACCCTATGGCATATTATTTTCTTCTTTTGTACAGATAAGGACCCGAAGACCCAAAGGAGATTAGTGACTTGCCCTTAGGTGATGGGTTTGGAACCA